GTGGACCACCTGGTAAGCTGCTGCAAGAAGATCGCACAGACTGACTACAAGCAGCAGCATGACAAAGTAGCAACAATGGTGCATTGGAAGATCTGCAAGAAATATCATTTGCCTGTAAGCAAGAACTGGTGGGATCATAAAATACAGAAAGTCATAAAAAATGATAAAATTAAACTGCTCTGGGACTTCAGAATTCAAACAGACAAGCACCTGCAACATAACACCCCGGACTTAACAATTGTCGATAAGAAAGACAAAAAAGTCTGGATAGTGGACGTGGCAGTGCCTGGAGACAGCAGAATAGACGAGAAAGAACTGGAGAAGATAACAAAATACAAAGACCTACAAACAGAAATAGAAAGACTGTGGCAAAGGCAAGCAAGGGTAGTACCAATAGTAATAGGTGCCTTGGGTGCAATCCCAAAACAACTGGAGCACCACTTGAACACCATTGGCACTGACAAATTCACCATTAGTCAATTGCAAAAGGCGGCCTTACTAGGAACTGCTTCCATCCTGCGACGATATCTGTAATACCATCAAACATCCACATCTGCCTATCCCAGGTCCTTGGGAAGGACTCGATAGGTAGACAAAATGCCAAATCCAGTCTGAACATCTGGCTGACTGTGCGATGATCAATAATAATAATAATAATAATAATAATAATAATGATGATGATGATGATGATGATGATGATGATGATGATGATGATGATGTTGGAAGGGACCTTGGAGGTCATCTAGTCCAACCCCCTGCTCAAACATGCTTGTGAGCACTATGTGAATCTCGGCAGGTAGAGCAGCTGGAGTTAGAATTCTGTTTTTTGTTTTAAATGACCAACCAGTCAGCTTTTAAAAGAGAGACACAGAGAGAATGACAGAGAGAAAAGATTATAATGCCTCTTCCATCAGCCACATTTCCACGACTGATATCCCGGCAGCTTTTTAGTTCAGGGTTGAATCCTGGATCCATTTCACCAGCGAGAAGCAGGCATCTGAGGCCAGAGGACCACCCAGGATGAACCAGATCCGCTGCCCAGGGAAAATGCAATCATGAGGGCAGTTTAGGACTTAAGCCAAGCTGAGTGTAATGAAAGTTAACTTTGAATCCTTGCGGTTCAAAAACAAAGACTGCCTGGCTGTAGCAATGCTGTGGTGGGTGATAAAGTTTGCCAGTAGCATCTGCTTAATTAAAAGCTACGAAGCAGCTCAACGTCACCAGCCATCTCCGAAAACAGCAGCTAACCACTCTAACTTCCCTTAACACTGGGAGTAATTTCTGCCGAGTCACAAATGATCAGGAAGTTCAACAACAATAGCAGCAAGGGGAAAAACTAATGGCTGCCTGACCAAGAATGTGGAACTGTGGCCCTCAACTCTACATTATGTGGCAATATTTCCATATTTCCAGGGTATTATCAACAGTAATGCACTAAGCACAATTGCAAGAATTATTGAAAGGGGGAAAAAGCAATACTGTACATCAGGGGTCTTCAAACGTGGCCCTTTTATGACTTGTGGACTTCAACTCCCAGAATTCCTCAGCCAGGCACGGAATTCTGGGAGTTGAAGTACACAAGTCATAAAAAGGGCCAGGTTTGAAGACCTCTGATGCACATTATCCCCAGCAAAAAAAAGGTTTCTGAACTTCTCCTGCAGCTAATTTTACAGAATTAGGAGTTACAGAATCAGCTGATTGTCAAAAGTTTAAATAAATCAACCAGCAGAACAATATACCCCCTCCTCAACTCTATTGTTCTAAACAGGTTATTTCCCATATTGTTTTTTTAAAATAAAATGGGTTATGAAACATTGTGCAGCTTGCTTAGGGTTTTTTTCTTTTCTTTTATCCCGTGACTGCTAATTTTGCTTTCAAGTCCTTCGTCAAGGACTTTGTTAAAAAGGCCTTTGGAACTTCTAAGAAACAAAGTCACAGTGATCACGCCTCTGCACATATTTGTTGAGACTCCAAAGAACTGTAAAAGAACAGCTAGGCAGAAATTACTTTGGCAACGTTAAAAGTTTCCCCAACTCCACCTGGCAGGTTTTATTTACCTATCCTAGGGCAACGCTTTCATTAGGCCGACTCCAGGTTCACATAAATATGTGAGCCCTTGTAAAAAAATTTCTCTCTCTCCCCCCCAGCCAGCTGGATGCTATAAAAAGCAACCTTCGGGGGTAAAAGGTTTAATTTGCTGCTGAGGTCATGAAATTTGCAAAGTCAAGGTTGGATGATAAAATGGGATGAGAGTCAAACGTGCAAATCTGGGCTTCCCCATCAGCTGTGATATTTAGAAGAGATCCTACAAGGCCTTGGTAAGGCCACACTTGGAATACTGCATCCAGTTTTGGTCACCACGGTGTAAAAAAGATGCTGAGACTCTAGAAAGAGTACAGAGAAGAGCAACAAAGACGATTAGGGGACTGGAGGCTAAAACATATAAGGAACGGTTGCTGGAATTGGGTATGTCTAGTTTTATGAAGAGAAGGACGAGGGGGGACATGATAGCAGTATTCCAATATCTCAGGGGCTGCCACAAAGAAGAGGGAGTCAAGCTATTCTCCAAGGCGCCTGAAGACAGGACAAGAAGCAACGGATGGAAACTAACCAAAGAGAGAAGCAACCTAGAACTAAGGAAAAACTCCCTGACAGTTAGAACAATTAACCAGTGGAACAACCTGCCTCCAGAAGCGGTGAATGCTCCAACACTGGAGGCTTTCAAGAAGAGACTGCAGTCATTTGTCTGAAATGGTATAGGGTTTCCTGCCTGACCGGGGGGGGGGGGGGGGGGTTGGACTAGATGACCTCCAAGGACCCTTCCAACTTCATTATTATTATTATTAAAGAGAATAAGGCCCAAAGACTAGATCCATCCCTCACCTTTTTATGCTATTTGCCAGAAGAACTGTTTCATAGGTATTTTAATGAGATTCCCAACAGAACGTTTATTAGATTTTTATCCCATCTTTATTTACTTTTTAGAAGTAAAGGTGAACATATATGTCATGGTTCCGACAGATGAAACTCTTCAAAAGAACTTCGAGACATTGTTTACCTTAAAGAATCTTTATTCGAGTAGCATAACATCGGCACTAACATTGTTGTTGTTAGTGGCGAAGTCGTGTCCGACCCATCGCAACCCCATGGAGAACATTCCTCCAGGCCTTCCTGTCCTCTACCATCTTCTGAAGCCAAAATCTGAATTCCCCTCCCTTGAGCACATAGTATCAAAGCACAATTCCCTCCTCTAATTAACTGTCATAAATCACATTCTCCAATTAGTTTGAAATGCAGGCTTCCCCTCCAGTTCTCCAACCCTGCCAATTCTTATCATCTCTTATTTCAATAACCTTGGTTCACACACTAGGTTCAGTATTGTTATGTCTAGCTAAACTCTCATGCACATTCCTCCCCCCAGCATCATCTAACGCTAACTCTAAGAGTAAAACATAAGAAGAAAATGTTTTCATCTGTTGTCAAAGCAAAAACATCCAATGTTAGCAGCACTGACAACATATGTAATACTCCTTGCTCTTCCTCTTTTTCTCTACAACAAGAAGTCTTACAGATGGTTTGGTCCAAAGTTACCCAGCCAGCTTTCATACCTAAAGCAGGACTAGAATTCACAATCTCCTGGCCATTGGTGGTCACCAAGCTGGCTTTTGTGCCTAAGGCGAGGCTAGAACTCACCGTCTCCTGGCAATTAGCTCAAAGTCAACCCACTGGCTTTCATGCCCAAGGCAGGACTAGAACTCACCATCTCCTTTGATTGGCCCAAACTCACCCAGATGGCTTTCATGCCTAAAGTGGGACTAGAACAGTGTTTCTCAACCTTGACAATTTTAAGGCATGTGGACTTCAACTCCCAGAATTCCACAGCCAGCAATGCTGGCTGTGGAATTCTGGGAGTTGAAGTCCACATGCCTTAAAATTGTCAAGGTTGAGAAACACTGGACTAGAATTTATAATCTCTCGGTTACTTAACCAGTACCCTAACCACTATACCAAACTGGCTTTTTCAATTTCTACCATCTTACCCAAAACAGAAATAAAGGTAACTCAACATGTAATTTCCTGAATTTCTCTATCTATTCCCTGAAGTTCTTTTAAATAATTGTCCACATACTGGTTAGAAGAATGTAAAGTTTTTTTTAAAATAGCATTTGCACAGTAACATGACCAAAATCACACCATTTGTAACATTCTAGAATTTTAACTTGTGTCACTATTTGCTTTAGCTCCTAGGTCTCCCCAGGAAATATCAAGATTGATTGACTTAGTATAGCACTATTTAGCATTCAATATTTATGTTGCCTAATCCTAAATCTATTAAGATCAATGATTCCTTTAATTCTTTTTTGATATGAGGAATGTGTTTCTCAAAAATCTTCCTTTCAATCTCCGTATTGGCCGTTTGCGTTTTTTTTTTTTCTAATGTGCAGTTTGTGCTCTGATTCTTTACTTTCTTTAATTTTTCCACTTTCTGGAGAAAATACCTTTGCTAATAGCTTCATTAACATACAGTCACTAACCATGCCAAGCAAAAACACATGAATTTTAGATCCTGCCCGGACATACTTCCATAGCAATCAATTTTTGATAAATGCAGTTTCCTTTTCACTGACTGGCAATTAAAGCATGAAGCCAATTACGCTCCATAATTATAGTTAAAGGTCACTATTTACGTAACACAGAATTTACAAATACATTGTGCAATTGCGTAAATTGCGATTATGCAATTCAGCCAAGTGCTGGTGTCAGAGACAGTGTGGTTAGTGGTTATAGCGTTAGGACTGGCATAGGACTCTTGCTTTTATCCACATTCTTTTAAGGACTTTGGGCTGGTCCTTCTTTCTTAGCAGGACCTATTCCACAGGGTTCCTCTTTTTGGGGTAACATGAAGGATGATCCGCAGCTGCCTTGAGCTTCCGGAAAAACAGCGGAATATAGTGCTAATGAATAAATGTGATTTTTAAAAAGCAGTCATTGCTACTTACCTTGTATTTATCTTGCCGGTACTTGATCCCATCTTGTCCTCCACTTTGATTCAGGCTATTTCTCTCCCTGATATTTCTATAACCAGGACTGGGTATCACGTACTCTTTTCCTAGATCTATATCTTTCATCTTTTTCTGTAAACGCCAGGGTTAACAAATGTGTTTGCCACTCGAAAAACTCTGGGGAAAACAAAAGAGAAAAAAAAAGAAATAATACATGAGAACATCTGCTGCTCTCTATCTCTTCCTTCTTAACGGATGTCCTAAATGGGATTGGATTACAGTTTTGTAACCCGATTCCCAAATATGGCCTGCGTACTGTACTACCACTAGTCCTGGCAGAAGGAGTGTTATATCAGACGGATTCCTGTAACCGTGACCTCAGATAATCCCAACAGGAGGAGAAACAGGTTCTTAGTCCTAAACTTTGCATGAGAAATTAATAATAAATAATAAACCCTTCAGGGGCTGCCACAAAGAAGAGGGAGTCAAGCTATTCTCCAAAGCGCCTGAAGGCAGGACAAGAAGCAACGGTTGGAAACTAACCAAAGAGAGAAGCAACCTAGAACTAAGGAGAAACTTCCTGGCAGTGAGATCTATTAACCAATGGAACAACCTGCCACCAGAAGCAGTGAATGCGCCAACACTGGAAGTTTTTAAGAAGAAACTGGACAGCCATTTGTCCGAAATGGTATAGGGTTTCCTGCCTGAGCAGGGGGTTGGACTAGATGACCTCCAAGGTCCCTTCCAACTTTATCATTATCATTATCATTATCATCATCATCATCATCATCATAGTATAACATGTATACAGTGAAATTGGCTGAGCCTCCCTCTGTGCCCCCCCCCCATCACAAACTCAACAGCCTTAAAGTACATAACAGGTAGCAAACCCTCTACAAATAGCAATCTATGTATTTGACAGGGACAGAGATCAACAAGAATGTGTATTCAGGCAAGTATTGAAGTTTAGAGAAAAAAAGAATCTCATTGCATTAAAAAAAATGGAGCTGTATACAGCCTTTGGGAGGGGAAGAAAAATAACAGTATTGGAAGAGACCTTGGAGGTCTTCTAGTCCAACCCCCTGCTCAACCAGGAGACCCTATATCATTCCAGACAAATAGCTGTCCAGTATCTTCTTGAAAATCTCCAGTAATGGAGCATCCTGGAGGCAAGCCGTTCCACTGGTTAATCGCTCTCACTGTCAGGAAATTTCTCCATACTTCTAGGTTGGTTCTCTCCTTGATTAATTTCCATCCATTGCTTCTTGTCCTGCCTTCAGGGGCTTTAAGGAATAGGTGGACCCCCATTTTCTTTGTGGCAGCCCCTCAGATATTGGAACACTGCTATCATGTTACCCCCCTAGTGCTTCTGATCACTAGACCAGACGTACCGAATTGCTGCAATTTTGGGAAGGAGTAATTTTGTTAAGCAAAACTATCCATACAGCTGGGCTACTTAGAATTTTTCATTCGGCAAAATGGACAAGGGGCTCTTGTAAACAACACAGGTATTAGCCATAAATGCCCAAATTGTCAAAAATAAATAAATGCTGCGCTGCTCAAAACAGTTGAGGACCACTGCACTGTCTTTATTCTTGTGGCATGAAGTGACAGAGCTTTACATAATGATCCATCAGGCCCATTTCATTTATTCTTAACCAATTACAAATACCTCGGGTGCATCTTTCTACGTGACGAACAGTCACAGAGAGCTCACCGTGTTAAACGCAGTCTGTCTCTGGATTGTGTAGAGCTAATAGAGAACATTAAAGTCAATAAGGGCTCCCTAGCGTCACAAGTTGTTGTTTTTTTTCCCCTCCTGTGTTCCCTTTTACCTTTCTTCTTTTCTTTCTTTTCCTAATGCCAAATCACACCTGCCTTGTGTCTTCTAAGTCTCCCTGTTGTATTGTATTGCATTATGTTTTATGCCTCACTACCACAGAAGCAGAGGAAAAATACTCTAGGGCTGCATGAGTCAGCAAAATTCTATCACCATGATGACAGGGTTCCTCTTTCTGCAAATAACAAAACAAGCCTTGCAAATGTTTTAAATCACTTGTTTCAAAACAGTTAGGGAAAGCCATTATCCTAAGATGCCAGCTAACCACCGCCAACAGACCATTTCGCTGCAATTCTGTATGCTTCACACCACAAGGGTTTATGCGTTCCCCTCCCCAGCGACACAAGATGCCTTGCTTATATAAAGGCTTGGCATCAAGCAGAAAGGCCTCAGCGAGGCACCTCCTGCCGTCCTGCTGCTTCATTCATCCCCTTGTTTGCAGCACCCTCTGTAGGGCCCATCGGTAATCGACGCCCGGCAATTCCTGTCTCCATGCATCCTTTTCCGGATCTGGGAAAGGAGAAGAGGTAGCCCATCATCTCAGAGAGAGAGTGAGATTCAGATTCGCCTATTGCTCACCTGTTTCCAGGCAGCCTTTGCAGCAAAGGGGAGCAATAACCAGTAAACCAAGGAAGGGGGGGGGGTTTCCAACCTATCACATCTGCTCTTCCACCCTCCTTGTTTTTAGATATATTTTTTTTCAGCTCCTTCCAGGCATACTTTAATTATGGCACTCCACCTCTTTGGCAGATTTTCACACATTTCCATGCAACGGGAATCAGACAGGCCCCTCCGCCCCCCAAAATACCTCTTGATGTTCTATTCTGAGGGAGAGGGTGGTTAAGAAGTGAGACAACAGACAGATAAACAGACAGACAGGGATAGGATAGGATAGGATAGGATAGGAAGATAGATAGATAGATAGATAGATAGATAGATAGATAGATAGATAGATAGATAGATAGATAGATAGATAGATAGATAGATAGATAGATAGATAGATAGATAGATAGATAATGGATGGATAGACAGAGAGAGATGGATAGAGGGAGGGAGGGAGGGAGGGAGGGACGGAGGGAGAGAGAGAGATGGATAGAAGGATAGAAATATACAGTGGTGCAATTCAAATACGTGAACAACCAGTTCTCTGTGTGGATGCCGCTTCCGGAAGTCCATTCTGGGCCTGGGCAACAAAAAATTAGCTACCAGTTCTGTCGAAGTGGTGCGAACTGGCTGAATCCCACTCCTGGAGATATAGATGGATAGAAGGATAGAGAGATAGAGATAGATGGATAGAAGGATAGATAGAGATTAGATGATAGAAGGATAGAGAGATAGAGATTAGATGACAGAAGGATGGAGAGATAGAGATAGATGGATAGGATAGATATAGATGGATAGGAGGATAGATAGAGATAGATGGATAGGATAGATATAGATGGATAGGAGGATAGAGAGAGATAGATGGATAGAAGGATAGAGAGAGATTAGATGATAGAAGGATGGAGAGATAGAGATAGATGATAGAAGGATAGAGAGATAGAGATAGATGGATAGGATAGGTAGAGATAGATGGATAGAAGGATAGATAGAGATTAGATGATAGAAGGGTAGAGAGAAATTAGATGATAGAAGGGTAGAGAGATAGAGATAGATGGATAGGATAGATATAGATGGATAGGAGGATAGATAGAGATAGAAGGATAGAAGGATAGATAGAGATTAGATGATAGAAGGATGGAGAGATATAGATGGATAGAAGGATAGAGAGACATACAGAGATGTAGAGACGGAGATGATAGCTAGATATGGAGGAGAGAGAGATGGTAAATAGATAGGTGGAGGGGGGGAAAAGATCTATTGTCCAGAGGTAGGAACTGGATGTTCATCCTTTCAAGGCGGCGTCCCAGAACCGGCTGCCTCTCTTTCGCCCCAAAGGGCTCCCAGGCCCTTTGGCCAAGCCTTCCCAGGAGCCTTGCAGCGGACCTCCTGGCCCCAAGCCTTCCCGGAGGGCAGCGGGACCCGCAGGGACGGGGGAAAGCGCCATCACCCGGAGGGGGGCAGTGCAAGAAGGGGCCGGCTACCGGGAAGGGAGGCTGGGGCTGGCTCAGCCACGGAGGGACGGTGGCCTGGGACTGGGGGTGAGCCAGTGCACATACACACAACACACACACACAACACACAACACACAACACACGGAGGCCGTTCTCCGCTGCAAAGCACCTTCCCCTTCCCCATTCAGGCCTCCCCTTCCCTGCCCGGTTCTTTGCAAGGGGATCGGGGGAGGGGGACTCGCCCTGAACAGCTCCAGGGCCAGCAGGGGCTTCCCCCACCCACCCCCCACCCCAGACATAGGGGGAGAGGGCTCCCCCTCCCCATCTTCAACATAGGCGGCTGCGGATGATGGGCAATGGAGTCCAAAACCCCTGGAAGGTGGTGTTGGGGAGGGCGGGGGGAGCCAGGGAAAGCGCCCTTCTCGGTCACAGCCCCCCCTCCTCCTCCCTGAACCCCTCCCTCTCCCCCGTTAGCCCCTCCGGGAGGAACCCGAACGCCCCCTCCCCAGTGAGGATTCCCCCCTCTTTCCCGACCCTGCCCTGGCTTCACCGCGGTCCGCGGGGTCCCCCCCCCTCCCAGCCGAGGCGCGCAAGCTCCCCTGGCCCCCCCTTACCTGCTCGAGCGGCCGCGATCCAGCTCGGCGGCGACGGAGGAGGAGGAGGAAGCAGCAGCCGGGCAAGAAAGACCTTCAAGCGGCTCCTCTGTCGCAACCCGTCGCAGTGCGCCTGCGCGGGGGCATCCTGGGCGAGCACAACAGCTCGCCGCCTCTCGCTGGACGCTCCGGGAACGGTAGTCCGCGCCCCCTCCGAGGGTCTCGGCCACGCCCGGGGGAGAACTACCTCTCCCAGAAGGCCATCGGCGCAGCCGGCTCATTTCCATACGCCCCGCCCTCCTCCTCCGCCTCCTCTCCTCCCTGCCGGCTTTGCCCCGCCTCCTGGGTCACCTTTGCTGCGGGTCCCTCTGACCCGGCACGTGCGCCCCATATCTCGGATCACGTGCGCCGGGTGGGAGTGGGGAGCATCGAGGTCGAAGTGACCCTGGGCGGCATGCAATAATTAAACAGGCACTATAGGTAGTCCTAAGTGACAAGATTTTATCTTCCTGGGATCCAAGATCACCACAGATCTGGGCAGACTTGAACCCTGGGCGCTATCTAACAAAATGAAATTCAATGGTGAAAAAAGCGAGGTTCTACATTTAGGCAAGAAAAACCAAATGCACAGGTATAGTATAGGGGGTACCTTGCTCAATAGTAGTAACTGTGAGAGGGACCTCGGAGTCCTAGTGGACAATCACCTAAATAGGAGCCAGCCGTGTGCTGCAGCTGCCGAAAAGGCCAACACAGTGCTGGGCTGCATTAACAGAGGCATAGAATCAAGATCACGTGAAGGGTTAATACCACTTTACAAGGCTTTGGTAAGGCCACACTTGGAATACTGCATCCAGTTTTGGTCCCCACAATGTAAAAAAGATGCTGAGACTCTAGAAAGAGTACAGAGAAGAGCAACAAAGATGATTAGGGGACTGGAGGCTAAAACATACAAGGAATGGCTGCTGGAATTGGGGATGTTTAGTCTAATGAAGAGAAGGACGAGGGGGGACATGATAGCAGCGCTCCAATATCTCAGGGGCTGCCCCAAAGAAGAGGGAGTCGAGCTATTTTCCAAAGCCCCTGAAGGCAGGACAAGAAGCAACGGATGGAAACTAGTCAAGGAGAGAAGCAATCTAGAACTAAGGAGAAACTTTCTGACAGTTAGAACAATTAACCAGTGGAACAACCTGCTTCCAGAAGTGGTGAATGCTCCAACACTGGAAGTTTTTAAGAAGAGACTAGACAGCCATTTGTCCGAAATGGTATAGGATTTCCTGCCTGAACGGGGTTGGATTAGATGACCTTCAAGATCCCTTCCAACTTTATTATTATTATTATTAGATGGGGACTGCAGCCAAGAAATTAGAAGATGCTTGCTCCTGGGGAGGAAAGCTATGGCAAATTTAGACAGCATACTAAAAAGCAGAGACATCACCCTGCCAACAAAAGAACATATACTCAAGGCCATGGTTTTCTCAGTTGCAATGTATGGCTGTGAAAGTTGGACCATAAGAAAGGCTGAGCGCCAAAAAATTGAGGCCTTTGAACTCTGGTGCTGGAGAAGACTCCTGCGAGTCCCTTGGACTGCAAGGCGATCAAACCGGTCAGTCCTAGAGGAGATCAACCCTGACTGCTCTTTAGAAGGCCAGATCCTGAAGTTGAAACTCAAGTACTTTGGCCACCTAATGAGAAGGAAGGACTCACTGGAGAAGGGCCTAATGCTGGTAAAGATGGAGGGCAAGCGAAGAAGGGGACGACAGAGAATGAGGTGGCTGGATGGAGTCACTGAAGCAGTAGGCATGAGCTTAAATGGACTCCAGAAGATGGTAGAGGACAGGACGGCTTGGAGGAATGTTGTCCATGGGGTCGCGATGGGTCGGACACGACTTCGCAACTAACAACAACATAGGTAGTCCTCGAGTTACAATGGTTCATTTAGTGACCGTTCTTTTTATTATTATTATTAGTCTTATTCATTTATAACTGGCTCCCAACCTTTTCTATATCCCGTACCCCCTAGAACGCTTCTGATATGTTCTTGCACCCTTTGCAAAAGTTTGAAATAACGGCAACGATTTATGCATATACACTATAATTTAGAAAACCCTCGTTTTCGTGCTCCCTGGAATATTGTCTCACACACCCGGTTGGGAACCCCTGATTTATAATATAAAATGTGAAAATAGAAAAGCAAATAATAGGGAACCACGGTAGAAAAAGGGAAAACAAAAAAGATGTGAAGAAAGGGAGGGGAAGAAACAAAAGTAGCAATCACTAGCCATTCCTGTTTCGCGCAAATCAGTCTTGTCAGTAAAACCCAAAATCATAGTATCATTTTTTTTCCACCTCAAGCACAAAGTCCAGAAGCGGTTTCCAAGTAGAAACAAAAAGACTTATTGTGATTTATTGTTGGGTTTGACTAGTCTAAAGAAAAGAAGAAATGGGGGAGACATGATAGGAGTGTTCCAGTATCTGAGGGGCTTCCACAAGGCAGAAGGGGTCAGGTTGTTCCCCAAAGCACCAGAGGGAAGGACGAGAAACAACGGTTGGAAACTGACCAAAGAGAGAAGCAACCTGGAATTAAGGAGAAAATTCCTAGCAGTGAGGACAATTAACCAGTGGAACAGCTTGCCACCAGAAATCGTGGGCGCTCCATCACTGTAGATTTTAAAGAAGAGACTGGACATTCACCTGTCTGAGATGGTATAGGTTCTCCTGCTTGAGCAGGGGGCTGGACTAGAAGACCTCCAAGTTCCCATTCTATTCTATTCTATTCTATTCTATTCCATGTTCTTTTATCAGCACAGTCAATTTGGCCATCTCTGCTCATTCCTTCAGCTTTTGTCACCATTTGTCTGTGGTGGGAATCGAGGCATCCTTCCGCTTTTGTGCATGGAATAATCTTGCTGCCGTCGCCATATATAAAATCAGAGTTCCATTTTTCCCCCAGTTCTCTTTCCATTAGACCCAGAAGGAAAGTTTCTGGATTAATCTTTATGTTCACTTTAAGAATTTTCTGCATTAATATATGAATCCTACTCCAATAGTTCTTTGCCTTTTCCCATGTCCACTATAAATGACATTTAGTGACCGTTCAAAGTTACGACTGGCACTGGAAAAAGTGACCTGGCCACTTGTCGTGCTTAAGATGACCGTTGCAATGTCCTTGTTGTTTGCGTGATCAAAATTTTGGATGCTTGGCAACTGGTTCATATTTATGACGGTGTCCTGAGGTCATGAGATTCCCTTTTTGTGACTTTCTGACAAGCAAAGTCAAGGGTGGGGGAGCCAGATTGACTTAACAACCGTGTTACTAATTTAACAAGTGCAGTGATTCACTTAACAACTGTGGTAAGAAAAGTCGTAAAAGGGGGCAAAATTAATTTAACAACTGCCTCTCTTGGCAACTGAAATTTTGGGCTCAGTTGTGGCCGTCAGTAATACACATATAAAAACGCATCTAGCAACTGTTGGAAATGTAGACAAAAACCAGGCACTTATTACCATTTTTGGTGGACATGCCCCAAAGCCAAAAGATTCCGGTCAAGAATACATATATGGTTAGAGAAAATTACTAAAAAAACATATAGACTTTAAGCCAAAATTATTTTTGTTAGGCATAATTGTAGGAAACTATGAGAAAGAGTGTACATATATCTAATATTATATGTATTAGCTTCAGCGAGAATTGTATTTGCTCAACCTTGGAAAAATGAAGATTTACCAATGGAGGAAGAGTTAATTAAAAAAAATTTAGATTGTGCAGAAATGGATAGATTGGCATTGAAAATGAAAGAAAGAAGATTCAGTATACTTTAGATTAGAACATGGGATACCTTTTATCAATGGCTAGAAAAACAAGGTAGAGAGAAAGGAATTTAACATGTATTAGTAAGTTAAATGTTGGAACACAGACAATATGTTGCTAATATTAAGCATTTGTGACTATAAAAAATAATATATGCCAAGACCTGCATACCTGTACCCGTGAAAATCTACGAAAACAAATATATATATATATGTAAATGTTCGTTTGTTCAAAATCTTAAATCTCCGAAAGTTCTTCACCGATTGCTTTGAAATTTTGACACAACGTTGTATTCGAATACATGTGTGTTTTTATATACCTACTATTATATAGATGTCACACCTGTGACAGGTAAAAACATGCTTTTTTGAAAAACAACGCCATCTGTTGGACGTAAAAGCAATTACAAACGTGCACTTTCTCTTTTCTTTCTTTTCCATTTAACCAGACTGAGCCACAGCAACGCATGGCCGGGTACAGCTAGTATATAATAATAATAATAATAATAATAATAATAATAATAATAATAATAATAATAATAATAATAATAATAATACTACACATATAAAAATAAGCATTTAAAAATATTTCAAAAATGGCATTAAAAAAATTAGAAGTTAATTAAAAATATAAAAACCCCAGGCAGAAACAGAATGACCATACGCACCACAATAATGGAGCCATCTAATCATACTTTCAGTTCCCTTGGACTCTCTCTCCCTCTTTACTTCTATAGACACACACCCCCATACACCCATTTTATTTTATATTTTATTTTATTTTATGCTGCCCATCTCATCAGAGATGACTGAAGAGTTTACAAACATTAAAATTAGTACACATTAAAATGAAACAATAACAAATATCTTTAAAACATGGGGAAGAGAGGAACACGAAGCACACAAGGGGACGAGGGTCTTTCCTAAACCAAATTTCCGAATCTTAACCCTGAAACACCTCTAGAATGGTGCATCTCCATTGGGGCCCCAGGCCATTTGTCATCTTTCCCTCAAATTGAGAAAAAAAAACCCAAGCATTTTTCTCCATTTTCTCCTCACCTGCTCACTCATCACAAAGGTCCTCGTTCCTCTGACATCATACCAAACGTACACTCCTTCAAAAGGTATTGGCAGGGTATTGTCACAAAAGTCAAGATCAACTCCACCACAGGACGACCATTTGTCTGAAATGCTATAGAGTTTCCTGTTTGAGCAGGGGGCTGGTCTAGAACAGTGGTGGCGAACCTATGGCACACGTGCC